GGGCAAGCGCTCCGTGTCCTGGAACTCCTACCCCCTTCCTCACCCGTCCCTCCTCCGTTTCACCCCGCTATTTACTCCTTCCTTCACTCCCTCTCTCTCTCTCCCCAGCTCCTCCTCTACCCTTCCTAGCTCTCCTACGAAAGGAGGTGTAGTATATGATCCAGGAGACAGCACAGAGGAGAGGGGGAGGGGTGCGGTTAAGTCTGTCTTTGTGGCGTTCAGTGAATCCCGCTGTAGCCGGAGCGACCCCCAGTAGAAGCACGCGGGGCCCCGGGGGTCAACCACTCCGGGATTAGAGCGCAGAGTTACACACGGCTTCTCTCCGCTGTAACCATTTCGAAAAATTTTATATTTTTTAACAGGGCGCAAGGGATTACGTGCACACTAACTGGATTGGTAACTTTCATTTATATTTCTCCGTTGTTTCACACACTTTTGCGCACTGATTTGTGAAACCTCATGCATTTAAGCGCACATATCTCTTCAAAACGAAACGTAGGTTAAACTAAGCGCGAACGTTTGCACAAGAACATACATATGCATTATGCGTATGACTTTGTACGATTTCAAAACGGTATCACGGAGAAGCCTATGTCGATATGTAACGTCGCTAGAAAACAAGTCTCTTCGTCTAGATTTTATTTTCATTCATTTTTTTTATTTTTATTTTTTGCCACCGAGCTTGCTTGCTGTAATCGCGTGTTCGTCGCGCCTTCTTGCGCTGATGGCCTGGAAAGCCCCGGCAGCGCAAAAGAGATTTCGGAAAGGCGGTGCGGAAAAGAGGCGGGGCCCTGTCAAAGGCAAGAAATAACTGGCTTTCCCTTCCCCGTTGGGCCGCGGGGTGCGTGGGGTGCGCTATGAGCTCGGGCTGCAGCACTAGGGAGTGCGTTCAAACAACTGCGAATCAGTCGGATTTTTTTTTCTTATCTTCTCGGCCCTCCTCCCAACGAAAACTGTTGTGTCGTCCCCGTAGTCTCAAGGGAAGAAAGAGGGAGAGGCCTGAAACAGAGCAAACCATAGAAAGAGAAGAGAACAAAGATCAAGAGGAATCAGGATACGGATACGTGTGGGGCGTAGACGAAGAGAGAAGAGAGTAAAAGAGAGATAGAGAGTGAGAGTGTGAGAGAGACGGAGAGAGAGGAGTGAGCATTCTAAAAATGGCATCCGCCAGCAGCTAGCTCGAACTTTGCTTTAGATCGAAGGCAAGGATATGGCCGGCCGGTCAGTTCCTCACCCCTGAGCCTCTCCTTCCCTCCCTCTCTCCCTCCCTCTCTCCCTCCCTCTCTCCATCCCTCTTCCCCTCAGACCTAAGGCCTGTCCGAAATCACAGATCTATCTCGGCCGGTAATGAGCTGGGCGTTGGGGATGGAGAAGGGAAGTGGGAGAGAGGGAGAGTGAAGGGGCGACGGCCCGTCATAAAACGTGCACGGCGCTCGAGCAGCGACAAGTGACGAAGAGGGAGGGAGAGAGAGAGAGAGAGAGAGAGAGAGAGAGAGAGAGAGAGAGAGAGAGAGAGAGAGAGGTGGAGAGCAAAAATTGGAGCGGCCTCATGCCCTCGTGCCGACGCTGCGCCGGGTTACAGTACATGCGAAAAAGAATGCATCAATGTCAAGGTGTGTAAAGGATTTCTTAAAACTTGTGGTTTTACTGGCGGGTAGACTGGAAAAACAAACGTAGAACTCGAAGGGTTTTAATGCCTTTACAAAGGCATTAAAAATTATCATCCCTGCAAAGTCATTAAAACGGCCCACAGGTGTTAAAATGTAATGCCTTTGGACACTTTGTTGCCTTTGCAAAGGCATTAAAAATTAACACGCCTGAAAGGCATTAAGTCCTGCCTTTGTTTTTCTAATGTAAAAAGATCAGAATTCATATTAAGAGTAGCACAGTTAGATTTATGAAATCACACAGGTACCATATCAAATCAAACAAATCAGGGTTGTAAGCAACCTAAATTTAGTTCCTGAAACCAACTTTTAGTTATTACCCTAATTTATAAAAAAATATTGTCGCCCCAATCCAACTGACTCAGTCAGCTTGACTAATTTCTAAATTTCATCTCCACGGAAATTTGGCTTCCAGAGATCTAAAATTTTATTGGTTTTCAGTATGATTCTCAGGACTGGACGACCTTCTAGGCAAACTTCTGATGCTTCCTAGACTACAAGGCCGATGACAACTGTGAGTTAACAAGAATTTAATTAGCTGTGTAGATGTCCAGCGCAGGGCATCGTCCTCTCTTCACCCTCTCGCGCTCATCATCGACTGAGAAGAAAAGAGACAGAGAGACTGGTCGCGCAGAGCAAATGCGATAACGATGGGAACTTTCCCACCATACCGACCCGAGTACACCCACCAGCCACCTACCTGCACACTCGCCTCCGCGCAAAGCGATCCCCACAAGTGATCAATGCATGCCCCGGTGTTCAATTCATTTGAAACCATTCATACATCATCATAGCTACAGAGCGCGGGCGCCATACGCACTGTGCGGACAAAAGCGGTCTGGGACTGGACTGCGGCCCCCGCATTTCACTAGAAACAGAATCGGGCGGTGGTGGACCGTCTCCCCCGTCTCCGCACTATTTGTACCCTGCTCCCCTCCAAGTGCCTGTCGTCTCTTGTGAGCCACCTGAAAGGTAGGCACTTTGGCTACAATACAACCCCCCCTCAAAAAAAAAGTGTGTAGTCAGTGGGACCTAAAACTGCGCCTCCCTTTGCTTCCTTTACATTTTATCTACAATACATTTAACCATGTAACTCACATATATCCCTAAGCTCTGCTTCTGCTCTACATCCCCCGTTCAATATCACCATGTTCTCCCCTTGACTGTGGCGGGCGACATCGCCATTGACCAGATTTATACTCCTCTGCGGCCAATTCGATTTCACCTTCTCCCCGCACCACAAGTCTCTACCCG